ATTAATTTATAAACTGCACAAAAAAATTCAGTCTTGAAATATTGATGTAACATTTTTTTTAAAAAGATACTCAAATTCACAAATTAGAATTGATAGAATAAATTAAAATTGGTAAAAAAGTTGTATCTTATATATAAAAATGGTAGAAAAGTTGTCCTCCGTATTTTATTTAACAAAACTTTTACTTTGTGAAATAAAATTAGATTTAGGTTGTGTTTGGTTGGGGGTAAAATATTTTCTTTGAAAAATATTTTCCAAAGAAAAATAATTCTAAGGAAAATTATTCTTCAATCATATAATCCATTATTTTGTAGGAAATATTTTCCTTCAACTAATGTCACCAAACACATGAAAATTGAATCAAAATTTTCCTAGAAAATATTTTACACCCAACCAAACACACTTTTAGTAAGTTTTATTTGTATTTGTGCTCTTAAACCTAATCTACAAAACTTGCGTATTATATATAAAACTATATGGTAAGAATTATACTTTTTTGACTAAAATTTATAAAAGTAAACTTAATGAAATAAAAAGTGAACATTTACTCCTATTTAAGAACGTTTCTTAATTAACTATTTAAAAGTCATCTATTTCCTTGAAATAACACAGATAATATACTGAGATTTTTATGTCATCTAATAAAACAATATAAATATTAATATGTTTTGAACAATTTTCAAACATTTTTTTTGGTAGGCATAAGTTTTTCTTTAACAAAAATTTTTGTAATTTGTTAGGAAGGAAATTTTCTAGAAATAAAACGTTGTAGATGTCTGAATAAAAAACGAATGTGCATAATACGGAGTATGAAACAATTTTAAAATATTTTAGATAGCATGATTAGCTTTTTACACACAATCCACACCAAATCTCTATTATAGAGCTCCATTCTGTGAGATTTAGGGGAGGGGATGGAGGACGGGGTGAAGAGAGTTCCTTGATTTGTTTGTAGAATGAGAAAACCCGAAGAGTTAGAAAGAACATGAACATTCATCCAAAGAAAACGTAAATTATTTTCCCCTCTTGGAAAATCTTTTTCCTTAAAAACTGATTTCATACCACTTATATAACCAAACATAAAAAATTAGATTTTGAAGTTTTTGGGAAAATTATTTATCTCTCAACCAAATAATCTCTAAAAGTTACAATCCAAAAGAATAGTATTTTATAAAAATTGTAGGATAAAACAAATTTTTGTTCAACCCCGTGCGTGGCACGGGTCAGAGTACTAGTTGGCTAAATATGAAGGTAATAAACGATAGGGAGATGCTAGGGATACACCTTTGGGTACATCAAAGGTGTACCCCAAATGTATACCACCCCACTCCTTACCATTCATTTTAATTTGTTTTTATTTTTCATTTTTTTTTAAAATTTTACTTGTTTTTTTTGTGTGGTTATGGAAGGAGTGGGCTATGTTTGGGGACACTGTTTTTTGGTGTCATTTTCCTAAACGATATTCTCCGCCGCTACCTGATCGCCATCTTCACCTGATTAAAAATCAATCGCCATCTTCACATCGCTCTTCCGATCGCCATCTCCAAGACAGGTATTCCGATCGCCATCTACTTACTATTTCGATAATCTTCCCCTTCGCTGCTTTTTTGTTTCAATTTTCACTTTTTTTTCGTTCACTTTTTTTTTCCACTTCAATTTTCACTTTTCTTTTCAATTTCCAGATTTCGTTCTGCTCTGCTCTGCTCACTTCAATTTTCACTTTTTTCAATTTTCAATTTCAAGTTTTCAATTTTCGTTTCTCTTTTTTTCCCTGTTTTTTAATGGTTTTTTCTGTTCTTTTCCTGTGCTTCTCTTGCTTCTGCCCAAATCCAGGACGGTATGCTTCTCTCCTCCTCCTTCGTTTTGTTTGTTTGTTTGGGATCTGCTTAAATTTCTGTTTTATAAAGCAGCATAGTTTTTATTTATCAGATGAATTGAGATTCTTTCACCATTATTCCGCCTGCTTTGGAAGAGATTATGAAATAACCGAAGTGTGTGTTGCTCTTGATGTTCTTGGATGATGAATACCCAGCTGTGGTTTGTGAATAGGCTTTGGTTATGATTATTATAGTCTTCCCTCAGAGTTGGTGTTTGTTCTAATATGTCAATACCCAGCTGCTGTTTGTTCTAATATGTCAAACCTACTAGAAAGAGTTGCAGAAGATGGTTGGGTTTCTGGTTTTTTTTTCTGTTTTTTTCTACAATTGTGTAATTTTGAGTATTCTTTTTTTTATTCTAGTTATTGTACTTTGTTTTCTGCAGTTTTGTTATTGTACTCTGTTTTTTTCAATTATTTGGACTTGTAGGTGCTAGTGATTTGAGTTCTTACAATTAACGTAAATTATGCTAAATTTTGATTAGTTGCACTTATATAAAATGATGTTACTTAGAAGTTTCGTCCTAGATTATTTATTTAATTTTAATGTTTTACATTTAAAATTTAAATAAATTCTAATAAATTAATTAAAAAAATGTTTACAATTGATGTAAAAATAATTTTGTATATGCTCCGTATATTTTACGTACGAATATAAAAGCCCGTGCAAAGCACGGGGTAAAAACTAGTAAGAATATAATGTGAAAGGTAAGTTTCATATAAATACATCCTAAACAAATAAAGAAAAACAACCACGAGGATATTTTAGTAATTTTATTCTTTCCTTACCTTACGTTATCTAATAAACATACAAACACAATTTTTTAACTCCTTACTTTACCTACCTTCAATTACCTACCATTACCTACCTATTAAAACTTTTACCTACCTCCAACCAAACATAGCCTAACTTTCCAAAGTTCAATCGCCGCTGCGTCGCACGATTTCGCCCAGCCCTGCCAGCGCGCCGCCGCCCACCGGACTTTGCATTTGGGGCTCTGCTTCTTACTTCCAGTCTTCTGTGCCACGCCCCCGCTGCCTCCAGGTTTCCTTAATTCATTGTTTTCTTTAAAATTTACTCTCCTGATCCTCCTCGTCAGTCGTCATTCCATAATTACCCAGAAATCTCGTTTGGAGCATGAACGGAATCTCTCAAATTTCGGATCTGCTCATCAGGGGTAAATCATGGCTGCAATATGCAGTTACCAATTTCCCTCCTCCCCTGTTTGTGTTTTTCTTTGAATAGTTATAGTTGTTTTTTGGCCTCTGTTCGGAGTCTTATGTTTGCCGTGCATCTTTTACTGTGTTAAATTGGTATATATAATAAGTATAATTATTATTTTTTTAAAAAATTAGGAATTAAAAAATTAGTAATATAGATTACCAATTCAATTTCAACAACACAATTTTCAAAACTTCTAAATTTCCATGCCACTTTTTTCATGTCCCAAAAATAATGGGACAGATGACACTAAACTGTAACTTATAAGTACAGTAGTACACATTTCCCCTAATGCATTGTCCCTTTTTTCGGAGTCTGTAACTTCTCCCCGTGTCAATCGAAACAATTGTCACCCTTTTTTGTGCTACATCGTTGTCTACCACACATTGATGGTTTTGGCTATGCTTCACTTGAAATCAGGAGGCTTGTGAACCCAAACACTATACCGGGTTTTGGATGAAGAGATAAAGCCACATGAGATTTGTTTCCATGGCGTGGCGGGAACTGTTTTCTCTCAACACAAGAAGATATGCCATACCTTCAACTGCCTTAGTATCATCCCGTGGAAGCTTTGCTAAGTTTTCTTCCAAATCTAATGAGTACTTCGGTATGATTTGTAACAAAAAGATTTCTTCTTTCCCTCCTATATTTCTGGCATGCATAATATATGGGATAATTGGAAGCGTACTGATGATACGAAATGTTTCAGTGAAGGTAGGAATTCCGGAGTTCTTGAAGGGAGTGGGGAAAGGGGTGGAGACCCACGTGGAAAAGCTTGAGTCTGAGATTGGAGATTTTAACAAGCTTCTGGTTACTCGAACGCTTAGGCTCAAGCGTCTTGGTGTTCCCGTAAAGCATGTGAGTGTATACACCAATGCTTCTCCATTTTATACATGTTGCATAGTTTATTTTTGTGTTATATGATCTTGAATTCCTTTCTGTGATGAAAAAAGTGTCTTTGCAATGTCTTCTCGGGACCCTAATTCAACAATTTTCCTGACATTCTGATTTAGTTGAAGGCACTTGTTTGTGTTGTCTCTCCATCTTTAATTTGGATGTCCATGTGGTGCTTGTAGTTTTAATCGTCTAATGACACTTTCTAGAGTTGGTAGAAGACAATAGTCGAGTAGCTGACCCTTTTATAACTGCTCTTATTGAGGGATACTGGGTGATTTTGGGATCCAACGGTGCCCCGTTGGGCACGGGACCAAGGGGATAGGTCGGGGAATGGGGTGGGTGGGTTGGTTGTCCAGTAGGGAGGGTAGAAGCTGATGCCGATTTGGAACACAGAAGAGGGGATGGTCATCATTAAAATGGGGATGGGGGATGATAGGGGCAGGGGGTTGGGACTCAGTAGGCCCTTCAAAATTGCTTGGTGTCATGATATGACATGGATAACAGGTGTCAAAGGAACTGCGGTGTTTTAGAATTATTTTTTTTAGCTCAAATGAATAAATTATATTGAATGTATATGTAGTTTTTTTTGACAGATTACTTGAAAAATGTACTCCGTTTTATGAAATACATTATACAAACTAGGTTTCCAGTTTTGGAACTTGAAACTGGAGTACTTTTTTGGGACACAGGGAGTGCTCTGTATTTGTCAAAAGACTCTATTCATGATCAATTATATTGTGTAACCGTACAATACACATGCATTTGATTACATTGCATTCCATTACAGCTTTCCAAACATCACTTGAGCTCTTAGATTTTTGTTTATATCATGGCTACTTTTATGTGCAAATTGCTTGAATGTAGTAAACCTTCCCGAGTTTATTAGTCTATGTTCCCATTCTAATTCCAAGATGCCATATGGTGCCAAAAGTTCTCAATCATCATTTATGGAATGACTTCTGAAACAGCTATAGAACTTTTTCCTGATTTCAAAATAAGTACATTTTTTGGTACCTCAATTGAAACAAAACCAATTTTAAGTTATACTCCCTCCATCTCATCTCTTTGTTCTCATTTTGACTTGACATGCCTTTTAATGTAAGATGAAAAAACATTTGACATTTCATTTTTGTCCTTAGTTATGTACTAAATTGACGAGATGTTAAAAAAAAGTGAATAATACAAAAGTAAGGGTATAATAGGCTTTTAGTTGAAAAAAGGTGAATAGTATATCCATTTACTCTATGTTTGGTTCAAGGAATTAGAAAAGAAAAAAGTTTTCTACTTTTCCTCACCAAAATGGAAGGAATTGTGTTTTCCGTTTCCCTTTTAGTTCATTTTTTTCCATCCTCTTTTTTTTCTTTTCCTCTCTGGTATCATTTTATTTTCTTTCCCTTTTCAAATTCATTGAACCAAACATAGTCTCAAGGAAAGGGAAAGAAAGTATAGGACGAACCAAAAAGAAAAACGGGAAAAGATAAATGATAGAGGGAGTAGCTTTTATAGAGCTAGAAGTACTAGAACTCCACCAAAATGATGCTATTGTTATTGTTACCTTAGGAGATTATCTTTTTGTTCAAGATTATAGGGCTACCACATCTACTGTTCCATGACTTATTGTTAACACTTCACTTTTGATGTTTCAGAGGAAGCTAATATTGAAGTATACGCACAAATACAGACTCGGCCTTTGGAGGCCTGCAGCGGAGCCTGCAAAAACGAAATGACACTTCTAAACATCCGTCCAGTGCAGTAAGTTTCTCCAGCGTGTGTGCTTTGTAATGCTTTACCCCTTTGCTTTTTTTGAATTTGTTGGAGTTTCATGGTGAATGGGGATACTGAAAATCTTTGGTGCCGTGCCATATTGGCTTAAACAAATACTCCGCATTACTTTCATTTCCATTTTTCACACAATTTAGATCATCGACTGTGTTTTCCTTTCATGAAGTTAGACATGAACACATGCCCAAAAGCTTGTTTTCACAATTCTGCCCTTCCAAACCGTCTTGGATTCGGTTATGAACCTTATAAATCCCTACCATATTCTCATATTGGACATGAGAAAAGCGAGTTAAATGTGAGCTTGCCGCTTGCAATATTCATGGATGGTGTAGCAGCAAGCACTCGTAAACAATCATTATAATTTGGGACATGAAACCTAAAATGTCCAAGTCCAACTAAAAAAACTACTAGTATTTGCATTTTTATGCATAGAATTGAAATCTTTTGTAAATTCAATATTTTGACAAATTTGTGGCTTTTAAATAATTCTTGAAAGGAAGAGGATTCTTTTATTATCTAAAGCTTCATAGAAAGAAAGGAAGAGGATTCTTTTAATTTCATATACTTTTTATTTAATTATATGTCAAAAGTTGAGATTGATTGATTGCAAAAAGTCAAAATTGGGTAAATGTTCTGTGACGTAGGAGAAATTAAAGTATCATTAAAGGTGTTTGTGTTATGGACCATAGTTAACATAAACTCAGCAATACAATATTTTGTAATGAGCAAATTCGTTTTTAAATTTTGTTAAATAGTTTTGAAATTCAAAAACATTTCGATTCTTACAAAGTTGCCTTCCATAGAGAAAATAAATAAAGGCAAATTATAAGGAGATGAGATTAATTTAAAATCTTCATCCATTTGTTTATTTCATTGTAAAAAGAGGACAACAAGCTAAGGAGGAATAACACACTATTAATTTTAGGTCATGCTACAATAACACGTGACAAAAAAGTTGACACTACTAGTATCTCATAAGCAATAGTTATGATGTCAACTTTTGTGTCAAACTTGGTGTTATAGCAACATTTATTATTATTTTTTACTCTTTGATCAGGAAATAAATTAAAAACAATACTAGTGATACTTAATTATTTTCCAAGATTAGAAGGTGACCAATCTTATAAGAAGCATAGGCATCGATGCATCCATACTCAACCTGAGTTGAGCTCAACTCCCTCACTTCCCAGTTACTCATGCACACGTGTTTCGGTTTCGGCATGTGGAGCCCACACACCTCGCTCGCCAGATCCTTCAGGCCGGGCCGGCTGAACCGGCCCGGCCATTTCCGCTTCGCCAGCTCCCGGATGTCCTCGCTCCTCGCGCACACCAGCCCGTACTCCTCCCTCAGCTTCCGAACATCGTCCGCCACCTCAACCCCAACGAACACGAACGTGGGGTCCGCGAGGAACTCCTTCAGCTCTTCAGGGACTCTTTCCATGTGGAAGAGCTGGAGGATGAGGCAGTCCTCGTCTATGCACAGTTGCAGGGTGGCGGATTTGTTGCTCATGTACCGGACCGGGTGGGGCCGCCACTCGTTGTCCAGACCCACCACGACCGTTGGCTCGCCGCGGCTGGCGTGCTTCAGGCGGACGTGGGCCACCCACTCGTTGGCCACGGCGGCTCTGTCGGTCACCGTGGTCTCGATTCTCCTACCTCCGAATTGGACGTAGTACTTGGAGTTGGAGGAGTTGAAGGTGATGCTACTAGGAGAGGAGGAGGAGGTCCAACGATTCCTACCATAGTAATTAAACATTTTTTTTTCTTTTTTTATAACTATAATAATTAAATGATTTTGTCTACTATACCCATGCATATCCACAATATATAGTACGCACCTAGCCAATGAATGAATTCGATGATAGCTAGGTGTAGTGTGATTTTCTTGCACGCACTATCAATGCTACTTATAAATTTTGTGTGGACGTTTGGATATCCAAGTTAATTAGTTATCCACTCCACTCCTTTTTAGACAATTTTATTTAAAATCTGATACATCAATAATAAAAAAGAATTACATATTACAAATTATGTTAAAAATTCTACAAAATAAGAGGTGACGAGAATATTTTATTTTATCAAATATTCAATGAAAACACACAAATAAATAAAAGTTATCAAGAGAAAAGAGAAATAAACTATAATCTATTTCGAGACGAAGTATAAAAATATACAATGGAAGAAAAAATGAAAATTTTAAGAAATTATGGTATCTAAAAATATTTTTAATATATTTTTTTAATAATTTTTGTTAATATATTTTAAAAGATATTATTGGTGAGACATTATATTTGAAAAGTGAACCAAAAACTTAAAAAAAGAAATAACGAAATGAAGGGAGTAAACACTAAGCAACTAGTCTAAAATTAAGACATGTTTACTTTGTTTAGCGCAATTTTCTTTCTTATTGGAAAGAAGTTCAATTTGTGAGATAAATACTTGGTCAAACACTTATTACAAGTGTTTGGTTAGCGGTTTCCTAGAATAACTTTTTTACTCCGGGTATTTAAAAAAAGGATTTTTAATTAGAAATTTGTTTCTTTTGGAGACACCTTTTTAACTTTTTTGTCTACTCGTACAAATGTTTACTACTCCATACTACTATTAACACCTCTTTGAGAATAGCGTTAGAGATTAGTATTAGCGTTTTGGTTAAAATTTCAACAGTGTATATTATCTTAAAAACGTTAACGCTAAACGCTACCCGTTAATAGCCTTTTCAAAATGCTAACGCTAATTTTTAATGTTATTCCCAAACAGGCAAAGTCTCAAACACTTAGCACAAAGAGTTAATCTACCAAATTAGTTTTTTAAAATAATTATATATTTTCTTCGTTCCAGTATATTTGTCCGGGTTTGTTAGCGTATATTATGTGTAGATATTAGTTTATGTACATCCTGTACCATGGTGGGCCTATCTTATTGAGCTTGTAACTGTAACTTGTATATATATCCCCCGGTATCAGTGAAACAACCAAGTCATTCAGTTCACTAAATTTTACATGGTATCAAAGCCAAACCCTTAGACATCACGTAAACCCTAGGTCTGCTTCCGTCTCTCGTTCGGAAGTTGTCTTCGCCGGTAGTCCTCTGCCGGCTGGTCGTTTGAAGTCCTTCACCGGTGCACTGTCCCTGTTCGTCGTCTCCTCGGCCCCGTCCGTCCAGCGTCACCGGCCAGATTCGTCCACCATCGTCAGGCCCGTTCATCCGCCGGCAAGTCAACCCAGTTGGTGCCTGTCTCGCCAGTCCGAGTCCCCTATTCGCCCGGCGAAGATCTGTCAGTCGAAGAATTACAATTAAAGTCGCCCGTCTCTTTCCGGTCTATCTGGTCTCTTTACCGTCCCTGGTCGCCCGTCCCAGTTGAAGTCGCCGCCCAAATTCATCGCTTTCCCATTGAAATCGCCGTCCAAAAGGTGATCCCTGCTGGATCGAAGGAAGGAAAAGCTGATTTGTTCAATTGCTGCAGCAGCCTAGATTTGTTTAGTGTGAAAACATCAGCATAAAATTACCAGGATGACTAGCATCTCGTGTGATTGGTTGATTGATAACGGTGCTTCTCATCATATGACGGGTACTCTGTCTCATATGTTCAATATTGAGGATGTTTTATCTCATCCTATTTGTCTTCCTGATGGCTCCCGGATTCAGGCTACTAAAAAGGGAAGTGTCCGTATGACCCCTAGTCTGGTTCTCCATCATGTGTTTTACGTCCCCACGTTGCATTGTCATTTGATTTCTGTCGGGTGTTTGATTCGGGACACCACCTGTTATGTTACTTTTAATGATTTTGGTTGTGTAATACAGGACCGTTCGTCGAAGATGGTGATTGGACAGGGTGAAAAGCGAAACGGAGTATACATCCTGGTTTCTTCCTCTGCGTCGGCTAATGTGGCTAACGTGGATCCTTTGCTTCTTCATCAACGATTGGGTCATCCTTCCTCAGATATTATTTCCCTTTTACAGTCCAATAAGTCAGGTTCTGTTATCAAGAAACTTCAAGCTTGTGAGATTTGTTTTTTGTCTAAACAAACTCGTTCTTCCTTTCCTGTTAGTCATAATAAAGCTGAAACAATTTTTGATTTAATTCATTGTGATTTATGGGGTCCTTATTCCCCGTGTTTGTCATCTGGTGCTCATTATTTTCTCACAATTGTTGATGACTTTTCTCGTGCTGTTTGGGTATATCTTATTCGTACTAAAAGTGAGGTAACATCCTGTCTTAAACGGTTTTTTACCATGATTCACACCCAATTCTCTAAACTTATCAAAATAGTCCGGTCTGATAATGGCACCGAATTTCTAAATGCCCCTTTGCGTCAATATTATGATTCCATGGGTGTTTGTGTCCAAACATCGTGTGTTGGTACCCCTCAGCAAAATGGTCGAGTAGAACGAAAGCATCGTCACATTCTCAACGTTGCTCGTTCTCTCATGTTCCAAGCGTCTCTTCCAGTTGAATTTTGGGGGGAATGTGTCAAAACCGCTGTCTATCTAATTAATCGCACACCGACAAAACTCTTGGGTGGGAAATCTCCTCTTGAAGTACTCTCGTCCAAACCACAAGATTTGAGTCATCTCCGGGTTTTTGGTTGTCTCTGTTTTGTCCGTCAAACACCTAAACCCCTAAACAAATTTTCTCCCCGTAGCGTGAAATGCATGTTTATTGGGTATCCCTATGGCACAAAAGGGTGGCGGGTGTATAACTTGGACACTCACCAATTTTTTCACGCTAGGGATGTCGTGTTTGACGAATCACAATTCCCGTTCTTTGTTCCAAACACCACCAATTCCGTCCAACCCGTCTTAAACCCCGCCGATGTCGACTTTCC